ACCCCCGGCCCGCGCCGCGCCCTCCCGCTTCAGCAGCCGACTCGGCTTCCTGGCAGCCCGGACGCCGCTTCTCCCGGGCTCCCGGTCTCGACTCCGCGGAGGGAGAGGAAATGAGTGCGGCGGCGGCGCCCGAGCGGGGCTGGAAGAGCGAGAAAGTGGACGAGGCTCAGGCCCTGGCGCGGAGTTGCGCTGCCCGCAGACCTGACTTCCAGCCGTGCGATGGGCTCTCCATCTGTGCCACGCACAGCCATGGCAAGTGCTTCAAGCTGCACTGGTGCTGTCACCTAGGATGGTGTCACTGTAAGTCGAGCCGCTTTTCCCCGCCTTTCGCCGCGGTCCTGGGGCGCCCGTGGGGCCGTCCGGGGTCACGGCTGGGACTCTGCAGCCGCGGAGGCTCGGGGCTTGGCTGGTGCCCCGCTGGGCTCCGGCGGGCGGGAGCTGCCCTCGTGCCGAACGACTTGGGTTGGCGCTGCCTTGGCAACGAAATGAAATCCCGTAGGGAACCTAGCTTTAGCCACTTCTGCAAAAGGGGATCTCCCCGTCCCAGGAAAACTGGAATCCATTTTTTTTCTTTTTCTTTTTAAACCGTAACGACCAGGCAGTGTGTTGAGAAATGGTAGAGAGCCGTCAGAGTTGACAACCAGAGGGAAAACCTTTCATCGGGGCTGGTGGTCAAAGATGCCCCTTTTTCTTTTTTCACTTTTGTCTTTCTGGGCTGCTGTTTACAAGAAAGAGCCCTTGGAAATAGAATTGTGGCCCGTTTATTGCATCTAACTTGAGAAAGCGCTAAAGTGTAAGAGACTGCTTCCAAGAAGTTAATATTAACGGGTTGGAAGGGTGAACTTAAATGCCCAGCTGCAGCAAATAGAGTCAATAAATGAGACTGTTAGAATTACAAAGTAAAATAATGAAAATATGCTTAAATAATCTTAAACCAATTTGTAAAAGCCAGAACTAAATACTCTAGGCCTTTTCTCTGTGTTTATCCTGCCTGTGATTTTTAAAATGGATTAAACTTAAGTATCCATTTAATCAGAATTCCACGATTTGATTAGTTCATGGTATTTGGCCTGCTATAGCTGATGAATCATTTCTTATTAGAAATTTTTTTCAGACTTCATTTCCACAAAACCTTATAATAGAGGGTTTTGGAGTGCTTATTTAGGACACAAATTCTCGAAGTGATCTTAAGTTAAAATTTTTTCCTTGTTGGTTAGAAAAAAAAATGGCTCCCAACAAGAAATGCAGTAGATAATAAATCCTTGTTTACATTTAGTGAGTGTAACACTTTTTAATTGAATTTATGACTTAAAGGATAGAGAGTTCTTACATTTTCATTACAGATACATGGCACATCGAACAGTATTGATATTTTTGTGTTCTGTGTGCTGATGAGGCACTTTCTTCCCATATTTCATTATTTCTGTTGCTTTTGGGTCTGTTCCCAATTCTAAAGCATCGCTTCATTGTGGGACAGGGTACAGTTAGAAATAACAACTGTAGGAAACTTGTGATGCTGAAGTATACAAGTAGAATCAATCTGGTGAAAGTCCATTTCCTGAAGAAGTGTAGAATCATAATGTAGAATGTGAGGAATGTTAAAGATGGTCCAGTTCAATGCCTGTACATTGTTAGTGATCAGAACCTTACAGCCTTCTCAGGCAGCTTTTTCATGAGACAGCTTCGACTCTAAGAATACTACTCTTCTTTATATGGAGTTGTAATTGGTTACTTTCTAACTTTACATTGACCCTGTCTCTACCTTATGAAATCATATAGAAAATCTAATCCTTATTTAGAACATGGCTCTTTCAACTCACAGACACAGAGTATCTTCTCTCTGTATCCCAAGCCAGTGTCACAATGTCTACTGAAATGGGCTTGAAATTCATGTTTGTTGAATAACTGAATGAAGGTAGCCATCATTTTCTTCCAAAGGTATCATTTTGTCCTGTTTATAACTCTCTATATTCTTTTGTCTTTCCTTTTGTGGAAGAGTATCCAAGCTCCTAAGCATCCTGGTTGTTCTGTTCTGAAAATGTGCCAATATGGTTAAGATCCTTCAAAGACTATGACCCCTAGAAGGATACACAATAACCCAGTGGTAGTCTGATCATTCCAGAGTTGAGTAGGACTGCTCTCTCCCATGTTTGAGATATTACTGCTGCTGCAGCTACCATCACATTAGCTTTTCTGATATCTACAACATATTGAACTTGCTGCTGTCAGATTGAACTAAGTTTGCGGTCAACAAATGCTATTCAAACCTTTGCTTACGTATGTGGCAATTAAGTCACAGTGCTTGCCCATTTATCAGTTTTATTTATATATATATATATATATATATATTTTTGGACACAGGTATTGATTGATCCCTTAGATAGTTTTCCCTATTTCATTTTATTAGAATTAGCCCATTTTTCTGGCTTGTCATTGTATTTTTAGATCCTGACTCATGAAACTGAGCCCCTGAGTTTCAAGTCATTGGATGTCAACAGTAGTATAGTAACCTTGTACATCTTCATTCAAGTTATTGATAAAATTGTTGAATGGTAGAAGGCCACAGATAGAGTCCTGAAGTTTGCCAATAGAATTGCCCTTCAGGTGGGTAGCAATTCATTGATGAGCATTTGTTATGGTTATTCAAACAATTACCTAGCTACTAGATTGTACTGTTAACCATCTTATGTTTATCTTACCCATATGGGTGTAATGACCTGGTCAAATACCTTGTTGAAATCCTACTGACACACTGTTTTTACTGCTTTTCGATGTATGATCTAACTATAAACATACAAACACACTCTTTTTAAAAAAAAAAAAAAATTGGAAATTAGATTAGTCTGGTATAACTCAGGTTGGTTCCACAAATGCTTACCACTTTCTTTTGTAAGTGATTGGAGCTATTTTTAAATAATATTAAATAAATAATCTATTTTAAAATAAATAATCTGAATTTAGGAAGATTGATATCAAGTATAGTGGATTATTGTTGGCAGTTCTTTCCATTAAAAAAAAAAAATCAGACCTGCATTTATTTGTTCTTTTCCAGTCTTTGGCCACCCTCCTAGTCTCCATGCTTCCCCCACTGGCAGCGATTCAGTGATCACATTCACGATGCACTTCATTTCATTTAAAGCAGCAAGGTGCTACATTAGCCTCCTCACCTATGCTGGGCATCAATTCTTTCTACCCCTTTTAAAACCCAAAGATCATTTAAAGAAAAAAAAAAAGCAGAGTTAACATATTTGAGAACTGCATTCTTTTTTGCGTTCCTGAACATTAATTACATCAGTACTAAGCAGAATTCTTTTAATTATGTTGAACGTGTTTTGAGCACCTTCTTGAGACATTATCATGGAAACTAGGAATACAAATATGAATACAGCTGGATCCTACCCTTTAAGCAGAGTATAAGGGCATGATTCGTGTTGTATTTATTCTTATGTTCAAAATCACAAATGATGTGAATGAGAAAAGTATCAGCTTTTTCACCAAATCCGAAAATGTTGAAATGAAAAGAGTACCTTGATGCTTAGAAAACTCAGAACAAAAAAAGGAAGTTCAGTTTTATACAGTTGATGTTAAACTTGTGAGATTCATAACCTTATGAAATAGAAAAGACTGCAAATATATACATGTTTATAAAAGACATAAAACGTATATATTCATAGACGCAGTGCTGATATTAAAGGAAATAATTAGTGTATTTGGGTAATGACAGATTTTGAGTACCATGTCTGGGAGGGAAACTGTAATATGTTTTGTTGGTGTCACTGTCAAAGAATGATTGTTGGACCAAATAAACTATGGCCCTGTGTCTGTCTTTTTTTCCCCAGTAGGGAGTGATATCGGGTTGAGTTAATGAGTGAAGGATTCCTAAGAGAGGTTTTGAGAGAGAAAAAGACATGGTTTGGCCAGTGAAGAGAGATGGGAAAGAATGAATCATATGCAGATATGATAAAGTAGATTTTTGTGGCTAGAGTAGATAAATATTCAGAAGGAATAAGAAATTAGATTGTTGAAATGTGAGGGTGGGATGAACAGAAAAAGTGGAGAAGTCAGGAGTTTGATTTGATAGAGACCTTGGCATCATAGTGATAAACGTGGGCAATAGGGGAATGAAACCAGCAAGGGAGATTATTTTGGTATTAGCATAAAAATAGATCGAAATTCATACAACAAGATTCATATAATAGAAGTTAAAATAGATTAGATTTGGAGGGAGAAGAAGAGGAAGGCTATAAAGGATAACTCTTACAGTTCTAGAATTCTGTGTAATGCAACTTGGGTGGATGGTGGTGCCATTCATTCACTAACAATAACAAAATATTGGAGAAGAACTAGATTTGGTTGATCATGGATCATGAATCTAGTTTTGGATCTGTTGAGTCTCACTGTGATGTTAGTAGGTGTTGGCTATAGGGATCTAGAACTCAGAGGTGAGGTCTGTACCACAGATAATATGGAAGTCGTTTACTTATTTATAGATTGCAGTTGTAGTCATGATGACACACTGAGCTCGCCAAGGGAGAGTATAATATGAGAAATGAAGAAAACCTTTAGGCTTTCTCTAAATGTTAGAACACTAGCATTTAGAGTCTGGTACAGGAGAATGAGTTGGCAGTAGAGTCTAAGAGATGGCTAGAGAAGAAAAATCTGGAAAGTATGGTATTGAAGATGCCAAGGGAAATGAGTGTTTTAAGAAAGAGTACAAAGATGAAATCAGTTTTCTGCAGGTTATTTCTTAGATATTGGTGAAATATACAAATAGTGATTTTACTACTGAGAAGAGAGTGAAAGGTTTAGTTGTGCAACAGTAACTTCAGGAATATACTTAATTGCAGTATTAGTCAAAGCTATTTGAGGTAGTGAATTTTGCAAGGTAGGAGAGGAAAATAGAATGCCAGGAGCTGAGATTTAGGACACAGAGATAATAGTTAATATTTATTGAGTGATTATTTTGCGCCAGAATAAGCTTATGCTAAGCACTTAATAGGCAATTATGTCATGTCCATTTTTCAGTTGAGGAAAAAGGCTTGGAGAAGTTAAGTAACTTTTCCTTGGGCACATAGCTAGTAAGGAGTAGAGCCCGGATTTGGATCCAGGCCAGAGTGATTCTAGGACCTGGACTCTTCACGATAGGTACCACAGAGCAGTTTAAAATGAACAGAAGCAACAGGTTTTTGGCTTCATTAAAGCCAGTGATGGGAAAAGTTTTTAAGAAATGGGTGGCAAATTGTATGGATTGCAGTAGTGAAATACAAAAGAATGAGAACTGTAAAGAGTTCTCATTCTTT